TTTAATGACTGCACTGAACTCCATCATATGGGTATACCATAAGGTTTTTCTCCAATTCCTGACTGATGGAGAAACATTTAGACTTCAGACTGCTTCTAATCTTAGGTTTGTATACTTGTCACTTCACAGTGGGTACGATCAATTCCTAGAGATGGAATTTTGCTGGGTCAACGAGCACATACATTTGTAATTCTGCTAGACTGGTTGCACCAATTTATACTCCCACAGGCAATGTACGAGTGCCTGTTTCCTCACCCATTGCCAACCCAGGTGTTATCAAAACGCCATCAAACTGATTCTATATTCCAGTACAAACTCTTTACTCATAGGTTAGCTGAATCATTATCCTCAAGCTCATCAGGTTCATATAACCAATATTTATGAAGTACTCACTCTGTGAAAAGGGGAAAGGCTGCTAAACAGAGAACAAAACACATCAATGGAAAGAATGAGAGCTTCTGAAATTCAGCAGAGGGGAAGACCGATACCAACTTGGGTGAAATGTCCTTAGATTTCCCTAGGATGTAAGCTCTGACCTAGATCCTGCAGGACACACAGACTTTGGACAGACAAAAGGAGTCCCAGAAGGGAGGTGAGGCCAAGCAGTGTGCTGGGACAGGAAAGCACAGGACACAGCAGTGCAGACCAGTTTGAGGAGAGAAGACAATGCTCAAGTGGCAGCTGGAAGAGCAACTGACACAGCCAGGCCTTAGTGTGGGAGGAATCAGTGGACAGAAGATTGAATTGAGAGTTAGAATTTCCACTTCTGGCATTAGCTTCAAAAAAACCAGTTTATTTAAGCTTTAGTTTCCTCACTTCTAAAACAGGGAGGTTAGTCTTGAAGCCAAACTTTCTATAGCTGCAGAACTATGTGTTCAAAGTAAATCTCATGATCAAGACCAATGTCAGACAGACAAGCAGAACTGTGTTGGTAGAGGGGAAAGGGCAGGAACTTGTCAGCCCCATATTCTAGTCACTCCAACCTGACAACCTGACAGGAGTGCCAGCAAACTCTCAGGATTATGCAAAGCACAGTCTGAAAGCAAGGAGGCCTAGGTAGCTAAGGTCTCCTCCAGCTCTAAAAACTATTTTAACTAAGTGTTAGACAATGCACATGGACCTTCATTGCTAGTCTGCATGCCTACAATTCCTTCATTCATTCAACATGCATTCACTGAGTACCTACTGTATCTTGGGCACTGCTATAGGAGCTGGGAAGACGGGGTAGTTAACAGTACAAAGACTCTTCCCTCTGACATTCCCTTTGTTTGGAAGGGAGAGATAAAAAACATGTCAGAGCACTGATAGTAGGAGGGAAAAGTGTAATGACTGTTCCACCCATAAAAACCCTACTCATCCTCATGTCAGGAGGCGTTCATTCAGCCTTTTCAGATCTTCGTCCTCACATATCATTTGTTCTCATGTCTGAAATCCTGCAGCACTTTGGACCACATGTGAGCTTTTGCCACTTGTCTCTATTCACTGCATTGTGCTTGTCTCACTCAGACTCAGGCTTCTGGTGGGTGCTATACCACTGTGGGACAGCTACCACAGCACTGCGAACACAGTGCTGGTACACACTGACAGGCACGCAGCACCTGCTGACTAGTAACTATGACAACACTGCCATTTCAGAGCCGTAAATGTGTTCTGAAAACTTTCTTCCTTTTTCCCAACAATATAGACTAGAATTTTCAAGTAACAAAATTACATAAAAGAGCAGAATCAAATGAGCAAACTAATTGAACAGAACACCAAATTGGATCTGGTAAGAAGTAATGATCTGGTAAGAAGTAATGATCTCCAGGTAGTCCACGTGTTTGCAACAGAAGATACTCCTAAAAGAAACATTAACTAGTCAAGACCAAAACAACCGAGTGGAATCTAGGGGGAAAGAGCATGGGAGTAACCAGTTGTGTCAGAAGAGTGGACAGATGGGGATGTGGAGGAGAAGAAAAGGGCAGACCCACAGTCCCTGCTCCAGTAGGTCTCACAATCACTTCCTCCCTGGAATGGGGGTCTGGCCCTACAGCTGGGGGACTCTCCTGCCACCACCCGCCCCAGCCTTCACACATCCCCAGGGAGCTCAATGCTGTGCTCCTGGCACTTGCAGGCTTAAAAACCATCAAGGGCATCTTTGCTACCATAAAGTTCCCTACCCTCTTTTTATAGCATACAAATATGAATATCAAAATTCTTTTTTCATGTCAAAAGGTCTGACAACCCCTACATGATATCAGTTGTATTTTTATTATCCACAACTGAGCACATAAACGAAAAGCTACCGTGACACAAATGTGCACAGTAGCACTATTCACAACAGCTAAGAGGCGGAGACAACCCAAATGTCCATCAATGGATGAATACATACAGAGTATGGCACATCCATACACTGGAATATTATTCAGCCATAAAAAGGAATGAAGTACGGCACATGCTACAATGTGGATGAAGCTTAAAAGCATGCTAAGTACAAAAAAGAAGTCAGACAAAGCAGGCCACGTATTGTGTGATTCCATGTATATGAAATATCTAGAATAGGCAAATCCCAAGAGAAAGAAAGCAGCTTAGTAGTTGCCAAAAGCTGGGGAGGAAGGAGCAGTGGAGAGTAGATGTTAGTGGGTACAAGGTGTCCTTTTGAGGAGATGAAAATGTTTTGAAGCAAGATAGTGGTGACAGCTGTACAACACAGTGAATATATTATACTTAATGCCACTGAACTGTATATTTTAAAATGGTTAAAATGGTAAATTTTATGTCTATTTTATCACAATTTTAAAAAGCTACTGTGAATTCAATAAACTTTAAAATAAATGTGTATCTCACCAATATCTGAAATATGACTTGGAAAACTGGAGCTATGAACACTAAAAAACAAAACCCTACATACAGAGGTGAACAGTTACTACACAAACAATAATTACTGTGAATGTAGACACTCAGAATTCTTGCACAACTGTAGCTACCAATAATGACAATGATAGCTAGAATCTATTAAATAAACTAGGAACTGCTCTAAGTGCTCACATTTAATCCTCTGTGATAATTAGCCTCATTTTACACAAGATAATACAGACACAGAGAGTTAAGTAGCCCATCCAAGATTAAACAGCCAGCAGGTGGCAGAACCTAAGAATTCAAATCTGAAGTCCATCTAGTTTCAGAATGTATGTTCTTAGATATCTCGGTCACAGAGCGATGGCTTCACCCTACAAAACCTCATCACCTGGGCCCAATCCATTCACTTTCACTAGCATCCGCCCCAGACATTATCATTCCACACACAGAACCCCCTACTCAGCCTCTGGGAGTGCAGTGCACTCCACCTGGAGCACCTGTGTCAAGTGCTATTACTGTGCATCGCTGCTGAAGCCTGCTGGGATAGAGGGAATGGGAACCAGGGCCTCCTCTGGGGCTCTTGTACAATCTGCCTTACACTGTTCTTTCCACCTATATTCACACCCGCACACACTGACTGAGTGCCCATTTTTGCCTGAGGACAGGAACAAAGAACTATTTTTATGCTCCAGCAAAATCAAGAGTAGCTTGTACTTTGCTGGTGAACACTGAGGACTACAAGCCTACGAACCACAAGACTGGGTCAGTGAAACCATTTTGTTTGGCCAGCAGGGGAGTTGCAAACACCAACAACATAATCTGAATGCCTTCCCCGGGGCACCCAATCCTGGTGTGGCACGCTGCTGCTCCGTGCCGTCTTGTGATCTGTGGTTCCAGATGTGCAACTATCCTGACCTAGCCATTAACTGACTCACGCATTACTCCCAATTACTTTTCTTCCCATCATCGTTCTTTTACATATAGTACATCATCATGGCTGTAAACGATACCAAGAGAAATAAAAGGGCATAACTGACATATTTCACTTTGGGGGATTAAAAAAAACTCCATCTATAATTTCCAGTGTGGAAATATTCCTGAAATTGAAACAACTTCAAATCACAGCATAACCAAAATTTAACTTCTAGAACAAGGGTCCCTTCTCAGTGCTTGCACTTCTAAGTAGGAAGGGAGCCCTGGCAGAGTAGCCCATCCTGGCAGAGGGCCACTGCTAGCAGTCCCAACCCTAGTGATTTCTGAGAAAAGGTCAGGGACCTTTGTTTCAGGTTTACCTTTAAATTTCAGCAGCAAAACCAGACATTTAGTGTTTTGAGTTATTTCTGTTTAGCTTTGCTCAAGTTCAAAGAATAAGCACCAAAAATAGAAATGGAAGGGGACACTGATGGAACACACTGTGCCTGGCCCTGATAAAACAAGGGGTGCCACTTGTATTACAAAGCTTTAGCTTTCTAGATGAGCAGGAAGAGGACCAACATGGTTGTATTAACATGTAACAAGTCCACAAATGTGCCCTGTAAAACCAAAGCAGCACCCAGGGTACTACAAAATAAGAATCGATTTAATATTCACAAACTTTGGCAAGATAATGGTCTTAATTTAGCATAAGGTATAAGCATCATTACTCATAGAAAAAAATTTCTTTACTAAGTCAAACAAATATTTGTATCTAGTAAGAATCAAAATAGAAAGCTAAACAACTGTTAAATTAAAATACTCTACACCAGCCATTTTCCACAAATGACAACTTTAGCCCTAAGTCATTGAAAATTTATATGTAATTTTAATTTTTACTTTCTTAATCACACTTGAGAAGTATAGGGGTCCCTACTATTTAAAGAAGGTTAAGGGAGAAATCTTCTGTAAACAATGCGGGTTTCTGTATCTGTTCCCTCCCCCCCAAAAGAAAACACACACCTATGCATCCCAGGTACACTGGGATCTCTTAAAGGGATCACCTGTACAAAGGCAAAATCCACACAGAAAACAAATCACCTTTTCTCTGTCTCTCTGGTCTTTGCTGCACACACCCTTCTAAACTCCAGGCTCATTTCAGTGTATAAATATAGGCCACACAAGAAAGAAAGAAAATCATTTTTAGATGTAAAGGGGAATAAATTAAAAGGTCATCAAATAATACTTACTGCTGGTTCAACTTGACTTCGATCTGCGATATCTATGTGGACAATTTCAACAGTTTTCCACGTGTTTGGATCTAAACCATGTACCTATAAATGACAAAGAAAAATGAAGCAAAACAAACTAGATTATTCTAGTTAGGTAAAACTATTAACTTACATATAAAATCTTTATCTTGAGTTTCTCAGGGTACATCACGAGCAATTAAAATATCCAAATTATTACTTCATTAAATTAGCTGTCTGAAATCTTTAGAGATCTAGAAATCTTTTGTTACCCTTATAACCCCAAATAGTAAGGGGGAGAGAGTTTGAGGATGCTGCCAAATGAACAAAAATTTGCCGATATTATTTTCTGGCAGTCCTTGGAGATGATTTCTATAACAAAATCTATGTGACCTATGTTTAACCCAAATGGTAACCAACAAAATCCTCGTAACCTGTAAATCCTATACAAACCTAAGGTGACATTATAACTAGATTTCAAAATGCTTCATTCTGTGGTCTAAAAATCTCTCCTGAATTCGATTATCCTAAAGCTATTCAGTTTAGATATGGTATCAGCTCCTCTAAACTTCATGCTATCCATTTAGTTTTGAAACTCCATCTATGAACCAATTAAGAATTGTTTAAAAACTGCCAAAGACATGCCCACTTGACAGCTGAAAATGGCAGATCATACACAGATTAAAACATACCAAATTATCTCATTTAGACCCAAATTTTAGAGACTTTCTATGAAGAACTACATGAAATGTCAAATGATCATTTGAAAGAAAAGTCAAATACTACCAATTCAAAAGTTCTAGTAATTAGCATCAGTAACATAACAGAACATAGCAGGAATGGAGTTTACCACAACCATTAACTTACTCTCCTCTAACAGTGTATCACAAGGTTGGAACAGTAGTTCTCAACTGGACAGTGCATCAGAAAACAGACTGCTGGGCCCAGCCCCTGAGATTCTGATTCAGTAGCTCCTGGGTGGGACCTGAACATTGCTGACATTTCTAACAAGTCCACAGATAATGTATTGCTGCAGCTGGTCCAGCAGTGACACTTCTGAGGACCACGGAGCAAAGTGCATCAAACTATACCAGATGCCCTCCCAAGTTCTGTGGCAAACCTTACCAAAAGTTAATGATTACATTTGAGTTCTGATATTCCTGAAACTTGGAGATAAATGTGCACTGACTTATAATTATGTAAGCCAGGAGCTTGATAACATTTTTGTAAATTATTAAAAGAACCTTCTCCTTCCTGCCTTCTGGCCATTTCTCTAATGTCAACTCATATCCCAGCAAATGGAGTAGAGGTGACAACTAAAGCAATCAATTCTGCTATGTAGAGCAGCTCTGGTGAATATTCTGATATGAAAGCAATCTAATTAGCAAAACTAATAGCTAAAATTGAGTTGGGGATCAACTGTGAATTTTGTTTACCCATGCTCTCCTGACCAGAGATAAAACAGAGTTGCTGATGAAAACAGCAACCCCCCAAAGTCCACTCAAGAGTCAAGGCAAGGGGGCTGAAGGGAAAGCCTGTTTGCTTTCTGGTTGCTTGCTTGCCTCACCTCAATTGCACACAGCTTGCTTGGTTTGGCAGGTGCTAGTCCAACACAGGTGACATTACTTTGGTGATAAAGTGAACTACATACAGTATTTCCATTTCCAGGAGCTTCTGCACTAAAAGTGCAGAGTTGAAACTTACATTTTCTAGTGTTCCCAAGTCTGGTTTATGCCATGTTTCAATTTTAATGAAGAAATCATCTTTCATATATTCATTCTGCAGAAAACACAACAGGAAAATGACAGTGATCTTTCACCGGGGCTTTGGAGCTCAGGTCTGAGGGAGCCTTACCCAGTAGAAGCATCCATGCTTTGACTCTACAAGGAGACTGATCCTCAGGTGACACACAATCATTAGCTACCGATTTTTACAGACTTGTCAGAAAAACCAAATGTTGCATGCTTTTAAATAATTTAAACAATCCTACTTGCCATACAGTATACAGGACTAACAAAGAAGCCGTGAGGTTTGCAGAGCCAACCTGGCATTCGAAGGAAGTAGCAAAAGCAAAATAAAGTCAATAGGGAGATTTTGAGACAGGGTGGAGAAAGAGCCCATTAACACTGGAACATGTGGTAAAGTGTGGGCGGGAACAAAGAGAGGGGAGCCATGCAGTGATGGGCAGTTTTAATAAAAAAGCAAAGAATGGTTAAAAGTAATTATTATGTAAAACGAAGTTTAAAGAGTAATGTGACTAAAAATAATTTTACTCACCGTTACAACTGAGGCATAATGGAGAGGCAGGCAATAAAAGGGGAAAAATTTCAGAATATTAATTAGAGTTGAAACAATCTATCCCAATATATAACATCACAAAGACTAAACTACCTGAAAACACAGAACATTTAGTAGCTTACATCTGCAAAACAGTTTCTATACAAGTGACACTGTAGGATACTTGAGATTATGAAGTACAAATAATATGAAAAATAATCTAATTTTAAACTACTACTAAAAAGAATGTCACAAAAGGAAAATATTATAGGTTAATTTAGGAAACGACAAGAAGCTGTTTCAGAAGTCTGTATATTCCTCCTCTATTATGTGGCAATAAAAGTACACCAAAAGACACTTCTGAGTGTGGATCATCTTTAAGATTTTGTTATCCCTTTCATATGCTCATCCCTGGAGCCAATATAGTCAGCAAGGACCTCAATGTGGCTGTCATCTGAGAATGGACTTATTATGCCCTTCACAAAGGTGTAGGGGAGGAGCCCAATGCAGCTTCTCCTCTGCTATCGCTCAGGCAGTGACTATCAGAGAACCTACAGGCCTTGCTCAGTGTAACCCTTTTCAAAGGTGTGGGCACTGGGAGTCCCTCTCCTCATCCTCAAGGTGGAAGGTGAAATGGCTGCTGAGACCAGGCTTACTTGTTCTACAGTAGGGGTATGCATTCCAGGCTTTCTCATGAAACACCAACGAGCCCTCAGGAGCAATCATCCTCACGAATGCAGGAACTTTGCTGTGAGGAGAGAGATACTAGATGTTTTCAACAGCACTATCAATTCTTTCTTTGTAGCTATCAAACCGCTTCAAAGAGTACTGTAATTGAAGGTGACCACATTCTAAATCTGATGACTCTTATCAACAGTTCATGTCAATCCCCAAATAATCAAGTGGAAAATTTATGTAAAAATAACAAAATGGTTAAGAACGTTTAATTGTATAAGGTTTTTGTTTTTTTTTAATAGAAGCAATTCTTTCTTAGGGGCTTTAGATCTACTCCCATGATGGGACATCTAAGCATTAACTGAAACTACTTAATCTGCTTATTTATACAACACAGAACTTCTCTACTATAGTTAGACGGCATTACACTGTTTTTTTTAAATGCAAAGGCCCCAGAATAAGGGGTATCTCTGAATAAGACCTAAAAGACCCAAAGAAAAATGACAATGTGAATGATCCATGTAGAAAATAAGTAAAGCTTATCCAAGTACAAAATTTTGTAGGTGTGGCTGTCACTCACTGCCTCACATATGGTCAGAGAAAGAGAAGGATTAAATATGTGATTCTATGATGTTTGTGCAAATTCATAAGATAATCAAGGACAATCACAACATATAAATGGGTAAAGGACATCCACAGACCTATTACAATTAGAAAATCCTACTCCTTAACAAACAAACAAACAAACAAACAAACAAACAGAAAAATCAGTCTTGCCAGTCTTCAAAGAAATGCAAATGAATGATCATTTCTACTGAGTGGACCCTACTCTAAAGAGAACAGTTTTATGTGCACACTCTTTTCACACAGACTGGATTTAAATCCCCACATTGCCACTTAGCTGTGTGTCCTTGGGCATAGTACTTTGCTTCTCCAAGCTTCCTATGTGCTGAATGGAGTTCACATTACCTACTCTGCAGGGTTATTTGAGAGGATTAAATCAGATAGTATCTGTAATGTGTTAGCACATTGCCCAGTATAATGGGAGCTCAAAAAATGGTAGTCACTGCTTTATAATTATAAGCTGATACAGAGCTGGTTACTTTCACATGCCTTTCTTCACTGAAATCTTCCAATAAATCTGTGAAGTAAGCATTATTTCATCATTTCATGTAACCAGCATTTAAATGGGTAAATAACTGTATGTCAAAACTATGTCCTCAAACTTCAAGCCCTATATAAATATTTTTTCATAACATAGCTGCTTCTCTGAAAACTTTCAAGCACCAACTTAATTGCTTCAATTAAAAGAACTAAGGAGAGCCGGGCGTGGTGGCTCACGCCTGTAATCCTAGCACTTTGGGAGGCTGAGGCGGGCGGATTGCTCAAGGTCAGGAGTTCGAAACCAGCCTGAGCGAGACCCCGTCTCTACCAAAAATAGAAATAAATTAATTGACCAACTAAAAATATACATACAAAAAATTAGCCGGGCATGGTGGCGCATGCCTGTAGTCCTGGCTACTCGGGAGGCTGAGGCAGTAGGATCGCTGAGCCCCGGAGATTGAGGTTGCTGTGAGCCAGGCTGACGCCACGGGGCACTCACTCTAGCCTGGGCAACAAAGTGAAACTCTGTCTCAAAAAAAAAAAAAAAAAAAAAAAAAGAACTAAGGAAACCTGGGAGCCAAAAAGGACTTCTGACACTATAATAAGATTGAGCAGATGGCCAAAGCTATTCCTATGTTGAATTTTGTAAGCTAAACAAAGTGGATAGTAAGGAACCCCATTCCAGTTGGAGAACTACACAGCAATAGAAGATGTAATGTAGACGACCCTTTCATTCATCCCCTTTCAGTCACTAGGCCAACTGTAAGAATGGGTACAAAGTTTGCGGGTTCCACTATCCTGATAAATCAGTGGAAAAGAAAAGCTAAAGTATTCCAGAACATGTGGCAATACAAGTGAGAGTCCAAGGACATAAAGAGATTTACATGTGCCTTCACATCCTTAAAAAATAATAATGAAAGAGGCCTAATTCTTTGATAATTTATTCTTTTCAAATGGTGGGACAATTCATACAAACTTCAGAAATATGAAGCCAGGATAACTGAAAATAATAGAAGTCAAAGAATATCTACTAGTCCAAAAACTTTCTCATGTTGTTTAAGAACTAGAACCAAAATCCATTTAAAAGTGGGTGAAGTCTAATACAAAATACATATGGGTAAATTTATCTTTTTAAGAGATAGCATCTCGCTCTGCTGCCCAGGCTCAAGTGCTGCGGTGCAATCATAGCTCCACGAAACCTCCTAAGCTCAAGGGATCCTCCTGAGTAGCTTCTGAGGAGCTGGGGACTACAGGTGTGCACTACTGAGCTTAAGGGATCCCCTGCCTAGGCCTCCTGAGTAGCTGGGGACTACAGGTGTGTACTACCATGCCCAGCTGATTTTTCTTCTTTTTTTTTGTACAGATGGAGTCTGGCTATGTTGCCTACACTGGTCTCAAACTCCTCAGCTCAGCGATCCTCCTGGCTCAGCCTCCCTAAGTGCTAGAAGTACAAGCGTGAGCCACTGCACCCAGACCCATATGTTTACTATCTGTTTCCAGGATATTTTTTCCACCATGGAACTCCAATAATTCATTACAGGCTTGAATAGTTAATAAAGTCCAAACTTTGAGTTAGTTGTGTTTCATATTTACCGGGTTTTAAAAAATATTTAACATGAGAACATTAATAAATACATTTCAAATGAATCTAAGTGAGTGACTAAACTTGGGGAAAATGCATAAATGGAGTAAGTAAAATTAAATTTCTATTCTACTTTAAAAAAGGAATTTTCATTAATGGTAATTTTAATATATTCCTAACAAGGCAGTTTAAGTGTGTCACTTATATTTAATTGAAAGCATATACATCATTTTTCCACCTTAGTTGTCACTTTAGTAAAATACAGGAATTTCCTGTTTTGGAAGCTTGGAAAGACTCTGTAAAGGCACAATTTTAATATTAACCAAAGTAACAAAACAGAGCATGGAGCTAGGCCTTCAAAAACAAACACTAAAAGGATAGTCCTCCTCTAGTTCTCCCAAACTATTCAAGAAGTGGTGTTCTCTCGTGATAAGCCAACATTCATAATGGTGCCTACTTACTTCAAGGTAAACAGGTAAATGTGTCCAGATTTCAGCTGTTTACAAGTGAGTTACCCCCAGCTCAAAAGCTGAAGGTTCTTTAAGAATATATAGATAGCCCTTCTCGCACTCTGAATACGCTTTAAGAATATTTAACTTCGGGGTAAAATTCAACAGAAGGTTTTTATTCCATTGTGTTGAGAGGAGATAATATTAAGATCTCACTTTAATATAACAATAGTTGTGAGCCTATTTGTTTCCAGGCAAGGCAACTCTGTCATAGTAGTATAGAAAAACAAAGGCCTTACATGGTTTAAAAAATTCTAAATAAATGACCATAATGTATACTGAACATCTGATCTAAGACATTCCTTTTTTTAAATCCTATTCCTGAGATAAATAACACCACTACAAATCATTTCAAACTACACTATCCACTTGAAATTTTAATGTTCTCCCATAAACAACACGAGCAAAACTACTTTTCCACCCTTCTTCCTTCTGCAGATGAATATCAAAATGTAGAAAAACATAGGGAAAAATCTGAAGACCAGATTAATTTACCATAAATAAACTAATAATTCTTTAATTTTATACTCAACTGAAATATACCTTACAAACACTGGGAGGCCTTCTCTTTCCAGTTCTTCCTGAAGTCGGGAAAGGCTGAGTTGGGGGGTGGGGGAGGAATACATTGGGCACCTCATTCATTCATTCCATTCATTCACTCTAAGTTATTTACTGAATGTCCATTGTGCCAGAGGCTATGTAAATATGGTGAACACAAATGGACAATTCCTACCCAGAACTTAACTTCCAAGGAGAAAAGCAGAAAATAGACTGGTAAACAAAAGCACAAAGAGAACCTCCTGTAGTGAAGTGAAATTAAAGAACACTGGGAAAGTGAGTAAGTGGGGCAAGGGTGGTTGGGAAGGCCTCTCTAAGGAAGTGACATTACAATGGCAATCCGAGGGTACAGAGGCAGGGAACAGCAAAGCAGGCACAGGGAACAGCAAGTCCACAGGTCCTCGATAGCAAAAGGCTTGGCCTATCTGAACCACACTAAGGTCTCCAGCATGGCTAGACGGTAGTGATCAAAGGAGAGGAGCCAGTAAGGCTGGCAAGGTGGAGAGGGGCAGACAGATACATGGGTCCTACTTACAGGCCAAAGTTTAGATTTTATTCTTTGTATGATGGAAAGCCAATGAAGGCTTTAAGAAGGAAATGACACACCCTGATTTGAGTTTTAAGATTATTCTGGCTTTGTGTAGAAAATTAATTTGAGTGGGCAAGAATGGATGGTGACAAAAATTAACTCAAATTAGGTAAGAACTAAAATTCCTATATAATTCCTAGAAGAAAACAGTGTTATAAATCTTTGTGATCCTGGACTGGGCAATGGTTTCTTAGCTAGGCCACCAAAAACATAAACAAAAAAGAAGAAAAATGTAAATTGGACTCGATCAAAATTATAAACTGTTTACGCTTTAAAAGACACTATCAAGTGAAAAAATAATTCACAGAATGGGAGAAAAAAATCTGCAAATTGCATATTTGATAAAGATCTAATATCCAGAATATATTTAAAAAAAAAAAAACTCTTACAACTCAACAATAAAGAAAACTCAATTAAAAAGTCATCAAAGATTTGAGCATAGATTTTTCCAAAGGAGATATACAAATGACCTAAAAGCACAAGAAAAAAAATGCTAACATCATTAATCATCAGGAAAAACGCAAATCAAAACCACAATGCAAATCAAAATCAAAATGCAAATCAAAACACACACTAGGATGGCTATAATCAAAAAGACAGATCATAGTGTTAGTGAGGAAGTAGAGAAACTGGAACACTCACACACCACTGGTGGGATTGTAAAGTGGTACAGCTGCTTTGGAAAACAGTCTGACAGTTCCTCAAAGAATTACATATAAAGTTATCATAAG